ATTTTTAACATTCTATTTTTTTGATTGTGGATCTGAAATAAACGGTTGATGGATTTGGAGTTTTCCAAATTATGAACAGCTGCGTCACGCAGCCATTGGATCTGTCACACAACTATTCTTCCATAGAACAGCTGTGTGACGCGACTGTTCTGTGAGTCCAGAAACAAATTTTTGTGCGTGACGCGACTGTTCTATGATTCCAGAACTAATTTTTGTTTTTTTTAAAAAAGTAATAAATTTTGTACAAAATAAAATTTAATTTTTCCAATAAGTCCGAAATGACCAATTATGAACAGATTGCAATTTAATTAAGTTTTGAATATTAAAATGTAATTATGCATGATTTTGGTTTGTGGGTTTTTGGGTTTGATTTTGAATCGGGTAGAATGTATTTTTTTTTAGGTTCGGTTTGTAGCCCGCCTTGAACTAGAAGGCAAGAGCGGGTCTTTTATTTATTTGATTTGACTGCTTTGGTTTGAATGATTATGGATGTGATGATTGGATTTGATTGGGACGATTAATTAATTTTTCATGTAAGAACTCGGTCCGATCCAATTGGGTTGGGTTTTAAATAAATAAATAATTTGGCTTTTCTAATTAAAATAAATTAGAAATGGTAGGTTTTGGCTTTTCTAAATTGAAATAAATTAGGAGTTGTAGGTTAAAAGAGGCCGGTTTTTCCGGGCTTTAGCTTCCAACGGGCCGACGTACCCAATTCCCTTATTCAGAATCACACTCGGTGCGCTTGACCAATTCTCTAAATTGGCCTTAAATAAAATTGGGTTCTAAATGAAGTCATTTTTATTTGGAAACAGTCCCATTACCGTAAAAATGGGTGGCGACTCAAAATGTTTATAAGATCGATTTATCGACATCGTATCCCAAAAGCGTTTTTATAAGACCGATTTATCGGCATCGTATCCAATAAAATGTTTTGTCACCACTTTTCATAATAAAATCACTTTCCATCAAAAATCAAAATAAAAAAGTGACGTTTTCGGGCCATCCGGGGGCGATACGAAAACAGATCCTTATCAATGCTCAATTCACATTCATGCTCAAGTGAATAAACCACATAATCACTAGAAGTAGCTGGGATTCTTTGCCTTTATGACCTCCGTAATGCTATTTCTTATGAAACCACTTGATCATTCGTGAATTGTTCATTATTTGCTGGTTCATCATTTATATGGTCATATGTCACTTTGTTCTGGTTCGGAATATTGTTTTATTGTTCAACCCATGTTGTTAAACCGTGATACAATAAGTGCAACAACAACAGAAGAAGAGACACTAAGGAAAAATCCATCTGAGTTGGATTTTCAATCCTGACATACCTGAGTTGGATTTCTAATCTGAATCTCTTGCACATCCACTTTACATGATTCAACACTCCCACTAAATTGGCCATTTTTAATAAACCGAGCATTACCACACTCAACAATTCTCGTACTATGGTTAGGACAATAAAATCTGTACCCTTTTGATTTTTTAGGATATCTATGAAAAATCTACTAACCATTCTAGCATCAAGCTTCTTTTTGTGTGGGTTATATATCTTAACTTGTGCTAAGCAACCCCCAACATGAAGATGCCTTAAACTAGGTTTCCTTCTTGTCCACAATTCATAAAGGGTCTTAGGAACTGCCTTACTAGGAACCTTATGAAGTAAATATGCAGTAGTCTTTAATGTATGCATCCATAATGATAAAGGTACATTACTATTACTTAACATACTCCTAACCATTTTCATAAGAGTATGATTTCGCCTTTCAGCTACACCATTCTATTGAGGTGTACCCGGCATTGTGTATTGTGCACAAATGCCACGACTTTCAAGGAACTGACTTTAAAGAAATAACTTTGCAAAATGGACCTTCGCCATTGCCCATTTTCCATGTAAATTTTTACCATAATATTCACCACTCTATCAGATTCTCACCACTTAACTTTTCTAATTTAACTGCCTATTCTACGCTCACTTACATGAAATTATCTCAAAGGATTACTCCACTGATTGCAGTCTTTTCATGCAGTAAAATATAACATAAACCGTACTGTGAGAAATCAAAAAATCACGCATAAGCGATAAATAAAATATTGTATTCACGCCACACCCAAGAGGGCAACATTTTTGTTCAAAACGGGCCACCACTATAATTCAGTGTGGCTAGTAAGTTCACACAGCCCAATTCCACCCTGTCTTGTCGGCATCGCGCGATTCTGTTAATGTTTTTTTTTTGTTTTTATTTTTTTTTCTGTGCTCTAGTGACTTACCTTTAATGCAACTCATTACACACATTCCCAGTCAAGTGAATATGCAATTGACGTAAGATTTTCACCTTTTCACTAACCTTCAAAATCCTTCTTTGGATATCCATGACCTAACCGTCTTTGATGCCCACAATGAAAGCAGAACATTCCATTATGTGCCACTACAATCTTAATACCTATATTGTGTTCAACATTAAACATGGGATCAAGTAAATCTCTGAGCATCAAGATCTAAACGATACAATTCACCATCAATCAGACGGCCAAACGAACCCAGTACCAGAACCGCATCAATAGACTCTATGCTCTGATGCTGAAAACACACATTATAATCTTGACAAACTAACCAAACATTTAACCAACTTCCCTACAGAAACTAGATTCCTAGCACATTTCAAGAACATAAAGACATTATTTATATATGTCAGATAACAACCCAGTGTCCAGGTATCAATCTATAAGTCCCCAATTCACTATCTATTCGTGCCTTCATTTCATGTTTTTCCCATTAATAGGAACCTTTTCAGTTTCTTTTATGGGTGGATCGAAAGAAATCCCTGCTATAATATGCAGAAAACTTGAGTAGTTGCACTTGCACAAACAGCGCGGCGGACCGGAAGCCATTCGAAATAGTTCACCGAAGTATGCCAACTATGGTACTGAAACGTCCGAAAACATTCACGAGGATCCAGAAACTGGTCCCGGATATTTTTTGGAGGTGCGGAAACTCGCCGAAATAGCCTTTGGAACGAAAAACTAGCGACGTGGACAGGACTAGGGCGGCGGCGGGCGCTGCGCACCCTTTCTTTTTTCCCAAAGGGGGGGGGGGGGGCCCTGGGGGGTCTTTTTTTTTTTTTCACTATAAATACAGCCCCGAATCGACCAGTTTTAGGCACTCTAGTCTGTGTTGAACGGAACGCTCTTCTTCTCTCTACGCTCCTTGCGGTTCTGTACTGGCCTTTCTGCCATTTAGTGTAGGCTTTTTATTACTCTGCCTGTTTGTGGTATTTTGGTTCACTTTACTTAACCTCTCTTCTTTAATTAATATTCCCCTAAGCGAGGAGTCTTAATCTAGGAATTTTCAAGCAGCAAGACTTAAGAAGCGGGCCCGGCGATTAACTCACGTGGTAATAACGAAAAGCTCTGCCCATTTTAAAATTCAGGCATTTGTGCATATTTCTCAATTCTACTTCTAAACTCTATTAAATAACTTGCATTCACACCACTCGTTCATTTTGCAGCCAAATTGCCTTAAGTAATAAGTTTGAAGCTCAAAATGCGCCGCGCTTTAATCAATTGAATCGTGCGCGGTATTAATGCCTAAAAACTCCGAAACATATTTTGCCTAAAGTTTGCCTAGTTAATTAACTAAACTACGGTTCGTAATTGCCTCTTATTTCAAACAGTTCCGGCTAAAAGTCCGAATTCCAATTAACAATTGTGGCTTAAAAGGCCTGAATCCAATCACGTTATATTTTGGCCCAACAATATTGCCTACAGTTCAATCACATTCACGTGTTTGAGCAAACAAATTGCCCTACGTTTAATCAATTCGCTTTTGGACCGCACAAATTGCCACATATTCAACATAACACCACTTATTGGCGACAAATCGCCTCAAATATGGACCTTCTTCTCTGGCAATAAGATTGCACTATAATTACATATATCTTTTGGACGGAATGCCCTTAATCATTTTGGTGACAAAATCGCCCACAAAACCCCTTATGGCACAAAATGCCCTTAATCATTTATGGCGACAAATCGCTAACCAATCTATTCGGCAACAACACTCTCGCCCCTAATTAAATGGTCAACTTTTGGCACGAAATGCCTTGAATATCAATCATACTTGCAAAAAAACAAAATAGCCCAAACATTCAATTTTTTTGGCAATAAAAGTGCCCAATCAAGCACCCTTTGGCAACAAAACGCCTAAAATAGAAAATCAAATCCAATCATATTCGCCAAAA